CTTGTTATATATTAATAATTATTCTTTTTTGATTAATTGAATGTATTATTTCATTTTATTGTTATCATTTTTGTATTATTATATAAAAACTTTTAAATATTTCAATGTAGAATTTTAAATAATTAAAATTATATTCATTAATATGTAATCACAATTTCTATATACAAGTTTTATTTAACGACAATTATTCTAAACAACTTCTTGAATATTTTTAATTGAGATTTATTTTCAACTTTATTTATTTGAAGATTTCTATTCGGCGAATTTCCCTATAAAATCTAATTTCAACATATTACATAAGATATTGATCAAATTTTACATAGATGTTGGCCCTATCGAAGTATATTAGGAAAAAACAATAAAACTTCATGCGTCTCTATATCTTACCATTTCGTATATATGTATCCACGGACCAAACTGAAAATCAGAGCTTTTACGCCTATAAGGTTTTTTCTAATATATTTCAAGGTGAACAGTGCGGATTGCTTTTATTTTGAATAAAATTGATTGTTGCTTTGGATAAAGAAAAGTTTTTTTTTCAAAATTGACTTTGTTACATTTTAAAGATCATGAAAATCTAAAAAATGTGAAAACTTTATGGGTCATTTCCTGGAAGAGCTAACGCTTATCTAGCACTGACGAGCAATTTAGAAAATTCCTTTCTCTCATGTGAAAAACTATGCATATATCTATTGATTAAAAAGAAAAAAGTAGAACTCCCTGGATTGAACAATATTCAAAAGAATATTTGAAAGAATTTATTATTTCGTCTTCCTATTCTATCTACATTAATTAAATTATTTTTATATGAGATATATCATGATAGATACTGCAATTATATTTTTATTTATATGCGTTATATCATTGAACAAGATTATATATCACTGAGAATATCAGTCAACAATATAGGTTTACTTGCGTGACAAATATATTGGCCACTTAAGATGATTGAATGTTCACCTTGGTGTCAAAATAAAGATTAAAATTAACTGTAGAACTTAACAGAAACCGATTTTTCAATTTTCTTCTAGTTTTTATTTCTAGAAAATTCCTCGAATGAAATTTGAAACATCTAACTCAAGATAGATTTAGAAAGATTAAGTTTTTTTTTATAAATATTAATAGGGAAATTGAAAAATGTAATTGTTATTAGATAGAGCTAAGATTTGTTTCTTTATTTTGATATCAATATGAACTTTCTAGCATTTAATAATGAGAAAGAATTGTGGAATGTACGGATATATGAAAAGTTATATATTTTATTAAAAAAAACGTTATTTTACTGTATAAAATTTCAGAAAAGCCAATATTATATTGTTAAAACTCAACTGATAATTAAATCTGTACATTAGAATGTATTCGAGAGTAAAGATTTTTCTCTAAGCAACATATTTTAAATAACAAAATCGAATTTTTTTTTGTTTAATAATAATGCTCTTAACAAATAGAAAATCTAAAAACGAATGAATTATTGTTGTATATCTTTCTAAATATATCGTGAAGATATTAAATTGAAATATATGAAATAAATAAAACAAATCTATTCGTTTGTATCGTCTTCGAATAAATTTCCAAGAGTTTAAAATAATTACTGATCAATTTTATCATTTACCTAAGTCGAAATATATGCGCAATAAAAATGTTCCAACAGTATGCAAAGAAAAAAAAATGTCATTTTTTCTTCTAATAAACTTTTAATAGTTTAAAAAAGCAATTGATGTTCAACGTAAACATACCGAAAGATGCAGCTCGCTCTGGACTTTGTTGCTATATAGAGTAGATTAATAAATAAAATAAGTATAGTCATTATAACAAAAGGGGGAAAATTCAATTTGTCCCCTACTATTGTTTGAAATAAAACTGAAAAAAAATATTTTATTTTATTTAAAATATTTTTAGGAAATTAATTAAATTTATTTATATATCAACATATATGAAACAATATGTTATATAACATAAGATTATATATATATTTTAATGAGTAAATAAATGTTGACTAAGCATAATATATAATGCAAAATAAAAGTGATCGGAAAATGGTGTTTTATATATCAGATTCGTTTTTATTCGAATATTTTTAATAAACAAAAGGAACTTTAAATAATAAACAAAAAATTGATGGATATGAGTTAAAATTTATATTAATAGATATGAAAGTTCATATTGGATATATTGACAAACATAACGTGTTTTTTTTCGAACCAATTGAAGATAATTATCTATATTTAAATTAATTTTTATTTAAGTTTTTTTTTTGTTCAATTATTCAATTTAAATCTGAAGACATTAATAGAATTTTACATTTAAATAAAGTTTAGTCAATTTATTTTCTTTTCTCTTTTCTATTGGTCAAACACCAACTATTTTATTTAAGTTAATTAAATAATAATTAATTATTTATTTTAAATTGGTTTTTGTTGATCGAAAAAATCAAATGTCGAATATAATCTAAAGAAGTTTCATAAGCGAGTCACTGATAAAGCTATCACTAGCACAAATATAGAGTATTAACCTTCTCAATATGTTAATGATATGGACAGACCGATTAGGCACACTAGATTTTATACAGGATTATTTTATAAATATAGGGACCATTAAGATAGAAGAAGAAATGAAACTATTTCAAAATTCCTACTTATTTTCTTTTTTTATGATAGTGTAAACTAGTCAAACATATTATCCTATTACTTTTTATTGGACTACAAGCAAAAACTAAACATGACTTATGTAAAATGCTAGATTTAAAGACTACATGGGTTTTTTTTATAGATCTTTTTCAAAAATACATATTTTTTATTTAAATAGTCATATTATCAATGAAGGCATTTAAATAAAAACAAAAAATAACTTAATCGAAAAAAACGATCTGACTTCGAACCTTTTTTCATTCGAGTTTAGATATATTTTTATAATTAAGATTTTAGGTAGAATTTGGTTATTAAAAGAAGACGAATCATCCATTGAGAAGATCAAGTCTATCATAATAATTACAAATAAGTTATGTTTTCGAATTTTTCGATTATTTTTATATTCTGAAATTTTTTTTATTTTTTTTAATATGAAATTGAAAGAAAATCTAAAAAGTTAAGTATTTACTCTCGATTGTTTAAATAAAAAGAAAGACATTTCTTTAGTCAATTTAGTCAAAAGTATCTGATGTCACCTTTTTTTCCTCCTATGATTTCGATACTTAACTATGTCAAAATATATATGAATATAAGCAATGTTGCGTTCGACATAGAATTAAAACTGAAATCTATTCAGACGCATTTAAACATATTTTCATAAAAGAGGTAGATACGTTTTTTTAACGTGAAACATACTTAGACAGATTAAAACTAATAACTTTTTCTTAAATTGAGAGATCTTTACAACATGCATTAAGATAGTGAAAGTTTTACTTATAAACAAGATAAAGAAGAAACAATAAATAGGCTTTATAATACTGTTTAAATTATTTAATTGATTAAATATTCATCATTAATTCATTGACATATTATAATCGAAGATTTTTCTATATTAGAATCTAAAAATAATATTATTGACACAATTTAATAATCGCTATATTAAGAAAAAAATTATCTTTTTATGTTAATTATGATCAGCAGACAATGATATTAAAAAAAACAACATTTCGTTATTAATTCATAAACTTATTAGAAAATAAAAATATAGAAAAATTCCACGATGTATTGAATATTTTATAGGTAGACAGATATAAGTGAAGTTGCACTGATTGATTAAATTGATTAAGTTAAAATAAATAAATATATTGTTTTTAAAGAGAATAGATTCCGAGATAGTATAGATCAATCATTCTGTTTTTCAAATCTTAATATTCTTACTTAAGTTAATTACTCAATCTATCCAATTAGTTCTAAAAGTTGTTACACTGCAGACACGGTCTGAAACAAAACCGAGTCTAGACGCGTTTTAACTCAAAAAAATATTTATTTGACCTTGTACAGCCTGTAGTGGAATGAGTTCGTATTTTACTTTTCTTGTTTTATATCTCAACAAGGATTAGAAATTATCGTTTAAAATAGTCGAATATTTTATGAGAGTTTTCTTCATCGAGTTCGTGAAGATAGAAAGAATATCATCTCATCGATCCGTTAGATTTAACAAAGCGAAGCCCCATTTACATTAGACAAACTTTTAGAGGTCCATGTCACTGTTGACAATACAGTTGCGCTCAAGCTTCACATAGACAGAAAAGAAAAAGTAATATATCTTATCAGTTGATGTGTCGAGTGCAACGAAGAAATTCGATATCAAAATCGTGTGCTATCCTATTAAGAGAACAAAAAAGAAAAAAGTTGGAAAGTGAGATAAAGTGACAACTACCTTGAATGTCAACTAAGGACAATAACGTGCATGGCTATATATCGCCTGGATGGGAGTGTGTACAATTGGCTTTCGAACAGAATTTCAACGAAGGACTGGATATCGGTGCTAGTTTATGTGTCTATCATCGAGGAAAATGTGTAGTAGACTTGTATGGAGGATGGAAAGATCCAGAGACAAAAAAAGAACCTTATACAGAAGATACACTTCAACTTGTTTTTTCAACAGCAAAAGGTATAATGGCTGCTGCAGTGGCTCTTTGCGTGGAAAGAGGCTGGCTAGACTATAATGTACCTGTTTCGAAATATTGGCCACAATTTGGTTACAATGGAAAGGAAGTAAGATATAGATATTGTTTATTGAAAAAAAAACTTCGTTTGTTTAAGAATATATTGTTGAAAGATCTCCTATCTCATCGAGCTGGTCTACCATATATTGATCAACAATTGACAATTGAAGATGTTTGCGATTGGTCTCATATGATATCTTTATTAATTGCTGAAAAACCGCATTGGGATCCTGGATCGATGCATGGATATCACGGTCATACCATTGGATTTGTTGTAGGAGAATTGATACGATATGTTGATCCTCAACATCGTTCTTATGGTAAATTTGTTCGTGAAGAATTAGATAATCAATGTTATATAGGTATATATGATGATCAAGTCGAAGCACGTGTTGCTCCTCTCATTCGAAAAAAGGTTAGTGAAGACGACGATCAATTGACTAAAATTCTCTATAGAGAAACATTTCACTTTCTTTATTGTCTATTAAAACTCTTGTGAAAAGTACAAATGAAATGAGAGAAGTCTCTCGAAATATCGAATAATCTTTCAGAAATCTGATAGGACAAATCTTTCAATTGATAGTTGTAAAAAAGAAAAAGTTTTATTCAAATGATATTGAAATCATAAATTGAATAGATAAATGAATTTATATGTTTATTGAAGATTAATACTAAGAATAACGACGTTATTAATTCATTGGATTCCCTATCTGAAAAAACTTTATCATGTAGTGGTGCTTTTCCTCTCCAACCATATGAAAATAGTAGTGGAATCATATATAATCAGATTCAACTTCATTAAGCTGAATTGCCTGGTGTCAACGCAATCAGCAATGCTCGTTCTCTGGCACGTATTTATGCTCGATTAATGGGTGATATTGTTGAAAATGAAAAAAAGATCGAACGTCTTTTGAGTGAGAAAACATTGTTAGAAGCCATTGAAAATGTAACACCAGTTGGAGAACCAGATCGAACAATGCCGATGATTAAAACAGCGTTTGGAAAAGGTGGTTTCCAAGTCTATGGCGAGATTTTTAACGTATTCGGTGATAATGTTTTTGGCCATAACGGTAATATATATATATATATTGATCTTAATGTTTCTATTTAAGAATGAGTTATATTTTATCTATTTTGACAATATTATTTTCAAAACAAAGTAACATTTTGAGAGGTCAAAAAATTTTGATTAATTATTTTTCAAGTATATCTTATCTATAATAAAGCTAATGTGTCGATTTATAAATGTTGACAGGTTTTGGTGGTAGTTGTGCATTGGCTTATCCACCAGATAAATTGTCCTATGCACATGTATGCAATCAACTTGATACAAGTGGATTCATTATTGATCAGCGTAGTATTCGTCTTCTCAAAGCAATACAATATGTTCTCAATCATTTAACAACACTCTAAACATTGAATAAGAATAATTCAAATAAACATATTAATGATCTTTTTATACTCATGGTTTCGTCAACCTTTTATTTTAACTTCATATCGTAGTGTTATTCACGAATTTTTGTCAATCGATAGTTTAGATAGAATTTAAAGCGGCTATAACAATCTCGATGTTACTATAGGTGTGTGAGTGTGAATGTACATAATGACACATGTAAGTGTGCGTGACATCAACAATCAAATCCACATCCGAGAAGTTTAGTTTTGATTAAATAAAGTTTATCGAAATCATAATTTTTGATGTTGATACTTTATTAAGTCTTAAATATTAGAGTTCTGTTAGTGGGGAAGTTCAACTGTCGAATTTACTTTAAAGAAATAGCAGTATCAACAAAAGGCACGAAACTATCAAATTTTCGTGGTGCTCATTCATCGGGATATCGTCGAAATTTTTACCACCGCATTATGACGGAAGAGTGACGGTGTTACAGTGTATCTCGATGATCTTTAGTTTCTAAGGAAAATTTTTTATATTAAGAAGCAGATATTCGTCGAACCCATTCATGGATTATTTTTTGGAAAACGCACCATAATTACATCGACTTTCTCTAAATTTAATGGAACTTTCTGAGTTTATAAGACTCGTATACGTATGGACAGCCGTAAAGGCCAAAAAAAAATTGAAAATCTTATAAAGAGGTTCGAATGGAAAATGAAGTCAACGGTAAATTTTCATAGGCTAGCTGGTCCTTAGCTAGCGCCTCTGTTTTGAATAATACGAGTCTAAAAGTTTTATCATTGATACTATTCATTGTCGTGATCACTTTTGGTAGCTCACGTTTTTCTTTCCTGTATAATGTTTTTTGAGAAGCTATTACGGAAAAATGTTAATTTTTTCCTGTTTTTGGGCTGAAATATCTCTATCAAGCCTTAATGGATTTTCAAATTTCATAAGTTCTTTACACTCATCGAACTGTCCTTTATTAAATCGTAAAATCTGCAAATCTATAGTTTGTTCCTAAACTGAATGAGAAAATCATTTTGAGAACCTATTTTGCGAATTTTCTCCAATATTGCATCCCTCAAGCAAAACTACGATATTTGATTCCTAAAGCCTATCATAATTATATTGGATCTTTATCAGAGCATTTTGGTTTACCATTCATGAAATTTTTGTTTTGGGACAATACAATTATTTGACGAAGTTTGATCGATTCTTTCGTTTTTATGAAGAAAATAGTTGTTACAGCTCTTATAAATCCCATACAATAAATCTACAATCGGCTAACTTCGTCAAATGATATTGTCCTAAAACAAAAATTTTATGAATGGTAAATCAAAGTGCCCTAATGAAGGTTCAATATATGACAGACTTTAGGAATCAAATATCGTAATTTTGCTTGAAGAGTACAAAATTGTAGAAAATTCGCAAACTAGATCTTCAAAATGCTTTTATCATTCGGTTTAGAAATAAGCTACAGATTTGCAGATTTTATGATTGAATAGAGAACAGTTTGATGAGCGTAAAGAACTTATAAAATTTGAAAATCCATTCAGGCTTGATAGAGAGTATATGGGTGTGAATAGATATGCGTGGAAATATGATTACACTAGCACCCACGTTCAACATTAGCTTTAGCACAATCAAGCAAAAGCTAACAACAAATTTTATGTATTTTTGCGCGATTAGACAAAATAATGTTTTTTTTTTTTGTAAATCTTAGAGATGTAACAATGACAGATAAGCTTTTGGTAATCAAATTAAATAAGAAACCAACCTAAACGGATGCAGTTTGAATAGGCTTTATTCGTTATATCGAGAGAGTTAAATCATTGTTAAAGAATCGTTAGTTTTTTGAAAAATTCGCAGAAATAAATAAAGCAAAATTCATATACGTTCAATTTTAACTTAAATTTTTTAAAATTCTATGGTAGAAAACAGATCTTCTTAATGTCTATATGACGGCTACTTTAACTTTTCTCTCTGATAAAATCTAGCAAATAATCATCAAACAACCTATTTTTCAACTTATCTACGTTTATTTTTTCTCCGTCTTTGTACTTCTCACAATTTCTAATGTCATGCTGCACCTTTTGATTTCACAAAACAAAAAAAAAAAAGAAACGTTTAATACATTTTTTTTTTTGTAGACAATTGAGCGTTGAATCTTTTGATAAAACAATCAGTCCGATCAAGTTCAAGTAAGAGGAATAATTTTAAGAATACTACCAGGGCAATTCTTTGTGGGCGATCCGTTATTTGACTCTAGTGCTTACTTGCATATTTAAGATTATCTGGAAAATTAAAGAATTCGATGTCTCGTTTTTGCTATTGTATTTTTCCATTTCTTCGAGTTCACTAATTCAGTATTTTCGATATGATTCAAAATAATAACATCAAGCTAAGATTTAATGTGAATGAAAATTGGATGTAACATAGAAATAAATCTATGTCTGATTTAGTATAAATTTGTGGAAAACCAATCACTATCAAATCGAATAACTCTCAAATGGTTTGATAAATTTTGACCAAGGGATTTGATGTTACCCATTTTAGATCGTCTACGAATAATAATCGAAGATGATTCTGATTGAACATAAAAATAAATAGAAGAATTAAGAACGATTATTTCAATTATTTTTGTTTGCTTTCAATATTTGATTGTCACGTATTTTACATTAGAAATTTTGAAGAAATAATATCATCTTGTTCTATTTGACTTTATCAATAATAAGATAGATGATTATTAATATATAATAGAAGATTATTCCAAAGTTGCATTGTTACAAACTAAACCATGAACATAGTAATAGACACTATCAAAAACAAATGTTCAAACAAACAAATTGTATGTATTATAATACTTACTTTATCTCTGATAAAGTCTCACTTTTAAGTAAGTCCATTCAATAACGATATTGTGAGCACGAGTCAATCTGTTAATAGTTGTCTAGCGCAAGTTTCTCCAATTGTAAGAGTAAATAAATAAAAAACTGATACTCAACATCTTAGTTTTCACTATGAAATATGCAATATCACTGAATATTTAGGTTATCAAAGAATTTTTGGCACAATATTATACGTGAAACCATATATAAAACTATTAGATTATTCAAATTCAAACTCATATATATTTTTTTCTTCTTTAAAAACTCAATTTTTAGCCATTATTAAATTAAATTCAACGACAAGAATATAGAGCAACAGATGTTTCAATCTATTATAAACGAACGCAAAAAAAAACAAAAATCTGAATAACTACTTGTATAACATATTTTACTAGAATGCATAAGCACATTATTAATTAGGTTTGAATGTGATGATAAGGCTCACATTGACACACACATCAACTTCTATGCCTGTACTATAATCGCACACATTTAACTAAACTTCGTGATTCTAAATCCGATTTGATATTTGAAGGAAAAAGGACATTATATTCTATAGAAAAGCATTGCACATGAAGAAAATTGAATAAGTAAGGAGAGATCGTTTGAATAGAATGGTTTAGACATTTTAGAGAGCGCATCAATAGAATTTTCATTATATTTAATTTATCTTTTCGAAATTTTTCCATCGATTATAGAAGACAAATAGATTATCTGATAATATCTGTTAGAGAATATTGATTATAAATTGAACTTGAATCATTTTAAATATTGAAGGAAACATTATTTGAAAACAGTTTGCAATGTTTTTTTTTTCAATTCTAAAGGAAAATTTTCATCTCTTTATTCAAAGTTTGTTTAATAAACGAGATTTATATAATTTAAGTGATACGAAACTTCACATCTCTGCACTGATTACTTATTTCACAAAACTTTACCTTATTTTTCTTATATATATATATAGATGAGGAATTATCATAAAAAACTATGTTGAATTGATTAATTCATTCTGTCGAATAAATTGTTAAAAGTGAAAATATAATTATTTAGTAGATGAAATTGCTAAATTTCGTTTGCTCATCAACGTAAAGCGTATAATGAAATAATTCAAAGGGTTATTAAAGATTCATTTGAACGTAATAGACTTGTGTAGTCTAATGGAGTTCAATTATAATTCATATGCATGAAATGAAATATGGTTGTGTGATAAACATATGTAATAACTGTTCCTCGTATAAATTCTTTTCTTTCTTTGTTTTTTCTGTTTTGTTTCGGTTCATCAAGAAAAAGGCAAAAAAATGAATTACATTATTTACAATTAACTTTAACTATTAGATGCAGAAAAAACATTATTTATTTGATTTGTTTTTAAAAAATCAATGTTGATCAGAACGATTAAGAAGTATTTCTTTATTTCTTTATTTTTTTAATTCGATTATTTTTCTGCATATGTATATATATATATTTATTTAATAATTACTCTTTATTGTATATTTGTTGTTGTATCTATAGAATTAGAAGTTTTTTCTTAATGAAAATACATGTTATTTTATCGTTAAATAATTTTATTTTTTACATACAATTCAAGTAATATTTTTTAAAGCGCTATGAGCAGAATAAATAAAAATCAATAATAAGCGATCGAGTTAGTTAGTAATAAAGAAACTATTTTTCTATAGAAAAATAATTTAAAATCAATGAGAAGATTAAAATTTTAGTAAGAATAGAGCTAGTTAGATAAGGCTATTGGTATTCTCTTCTCTAACAGTCACACATTAAAATGTGAGATTATAATAGAAGAGTGTTTTTTAATTTATTTCATATTAAGAAATAATTTCTTCGAGCTTTTTACATGTAAATAAAGTATCTTTGCCACTAATTTTGATTTGCTTTAGCTACATTTGATTTATGTTTATTTTTTATAAATATATCAGATGAATAAATCCTATTCTATCATATAATTGAAAAAAAGGAAAGTTGAACATTATTTTAAAAATAATCTTGACATGAGCATTGTCCATTTGTGTAGAAATGATGAATTCGATTTGCATCTCGAACAATAATTTCACATTGACGAATAGCAGCTATTAATTTTGTTACTTGATCTATGAAAACAAAAAAAAGAAAACTAAAAAAAAAAAAAAAACTTCGTAAATAATCACATACGACAATCACCACAAATACGAAGATTTTTTGTTATTTGAATTTGTTTTGTATTTGGATTTGCAACAAAATTCCAGGCTATTGCAAGTCTTTCACTATGTCCACTAAGAACAGATGCAATCGTTTCATCTTCGTCTAATAATCGTGTAATCCAAGCAGAATCAAATTGATGACCATGTTCAATAAGCTCGTTCGATATTTTATCATTTTCAGCATAAATATCTTTTGATCGAGGATGAGACCGATCATGAGCTCGAAATTTCTAAAGAATAGAAATTCTTGAATAATATTCATAATAAAATGACTTACAAATATTTGACCATTGATTTCAGTAAAAGACAGACCAATTTTTTTCTTTAGACCAAGTTGATATAATTTATTTTTGATATTCAATGATTTTTCTATATCACCTACTGATGCGTGAGCATTAGAAAGTAGAATTGAAGCAGATACTAGTCGATTTTTATGTTTAGGAAATTTTTCTTCAATACGAATGTATATTTTTTCTGATAAATGATTATCTTTCTTATTTCGAGCACCGGATAATAATGACACTAGAAAAAAAACAAATAATCTTAAATGGAAAATTTTCATTCGAATAATCTTTCATTTTTTTAAATTTTTGAAAAATGACTTTCTTACAAGACTTCAATATGATTAACTAATAAAGATTAATCTCTCGTTACATTGATTTATTTATTTTAATTAAATAACTTACAAAAAAAAAACCAAATCTCTATTTTAAAAATTTGAACAATAATCCTTTAAGAATTCGGAAAAAACAAGTAAAGATCATTATCTATCCAATCGTCGTTTATTTCATCTTACTTTTATCATTTTACTCTTGAAAATTAAGTACTTTAACAATAATAACATACTCTCCTTTGCTTCTTCTTCTTTAATATTCAACAATATTATTCTCAAATATTTCTTAATCTATTATAGAAGAAAACTAGTAAGGAGATATTAGAATAGAATAGAATCCATTGAGTAGATCAAGCATACTGATATATATTTATCTAGATTGGAAAATTCTCAAGTTACCTTTCTCTAACTAATATATAAGAATGAAAAGCTACTATTAATTGATTATAACAAAAGTCATCGTCAATGTTCAATGAGAAAAATGTAGAGTTTACGAGTTGGAAAAAAAGCAATAATCAAAGAGAATATGTATTTTCTATGTTCGAACGAACTTTATCGAAGTCGAATTAGAAAATTTCATAACGATGATTAAAAGTATAATTATAGACAGTATTAAAATAGAAAAATCTTTTGTATTTTGATTCAGCGTTGAAAAATATTCTCAGCTCGACGATTTCTATAATAAGTAATATAATGACCAAATAAAATTCTATTCTACACTCGAGATATTTATTCATACACTAAACGAAAAGAAAATGTTTTAATTAAGTAAAAACTTCCGTATATTATTGTTATTTTTCGTGGCAATCGTCATCGACGCATTAAGGATTTCTCCTATTTATTTCTTTATTTTAAATAGAACATTTTTTATTTTTTGGAGAAAAACGAAGTTGCTACGGTCTATAAAAGAAAAGGAAAATATTCCTATGATCTTTAATGATAATAGGAAAGGAGGTTACTATAGGATGTAATCGAAATAGGGTAAAGTAGATTAGTTGTTAATGTCCGTAACGAAAACGAGAGAAGACAAGAAAATTGGAATTACAATATCGAGTGACTATTTATTTCGATAATAAATGTCAGTTAGATAAAATGAGTATAAAGATATTTTGATAAAACTTACTGAGCATAGTTGGTGAAGGTGAATGATGTAATTCAAAATTGTTAATCAATATTTGTGCTTCTTCAAAAAGAAATGCACGACTAAGACAATCAACCTAAACAAAATAAATAAAGATTAAATAAATAAAAGAAAAAAATATTTATTCTATTAACCATAGTAGTATAAATTTTCTCTGTTTTATTAATAATATTAATAAATATTGATCGAGCATGATCAACAAGTCCTGAATGTGAACATGCATTTAAAACACAAACATATGTTTCTTCGAAAATCAATTCTCGTGGCATTTTATCAAAAAGTTTTATTGCTTCAATACCCATTCCATTTAAACCATATGAATTAACTAACATATATATATATATAGAATATAATAGAACGTTGCTAAAAAAATTTTTCCACTCACTCATTGATGTATATCCAATTGTATCTGGTTGAGTTAATGATTGAAATATATTTTTCGCTTTATCTATACAACCTGATTTTCCCTATTTTATTTAAAATAAAAAACCAAAAAAGAAATAAAAAAGTGAAATTAATTAATTTAATATTCCTACCCACATGTCAATTAATGCATTCTTAATATAAGAATTCTCAATAAAATCCATTGGAATTTGTTCAAATATTGATTGACATATTGAAATAATTCCAATATTAGCAGATGCATTTATTAAATGAAGCCAACATATAATATCTAATTTAATTCTATCAATTTTCATTTTATTATATAAATCTAAAGTTTTATCTGGTTGATAATTTCTATTAAAAGCATTCATTAAATTTCCATAACTAATTCTATTTCTTTTTATATTAGAAAAAATTAGTTCAGCAGATGATAAATCACCACATTTGATAAATGCATCAAAAGCAGTTGTCAATATATTTGAATTTTTTCTATAACAATTCGGAATATTTGATAAAACTTTCTTGACCAAATTTAATGTTTCTTTTGTTCCTATTCGAGCACAAGCATGAAAAAAAAGTATTAAAATTATTTCATCTGGATTTGAAATTTTAAAGAAAATATTAATTGTTTCATTTAACATATTATTTTTAATTAAACCTATTTTAATATATACAAATTATTATTATTATCAAATTTTAAAAATAATATTTTACCTTTCATCATTGCTCCATAAATACCCATTGTTTTATTATTTGATTTATTATATATTTGTTCAGCACGATTAACATCTCCACATTGCACTAAATACAATTACAATAAATATATTTATATTTAAACGAATTTTTATTCTTATTAACTGTAGAAATGAATAAGTGATGCTAATATAAAACAATTCTTTTCTATACGAGATGAATATTTAATATATATATATGAACCACCTTGAAAATCTTCTATATTTGTAAACGATTTTAATGCTTGATTAATAGCCACATCCGATATTATTCCACTATTTTTATCTTCATATTCATTAAATAAAACAAGTGCTTTTCGAAATTCTTTTCTATCGTTTAATTTTTTCATTTCCATACCCAAATTACAATATGATCTGATCATAGAAATTCTACATTTTATAACAATATTTATTGATCGAAGATGTCTATTTAAAGACATTTTCAATATTGACAAATTCTTTATTTTATTGAAAATAAAAAGTTGCAATTATAAAATCAAACTGATAGAATCGAAGAACAAGATAAATATCTATTCGTGAATAAAATAAGCTAATCATTGAATAAATTATCAAAATAAAGGAATAGAAGAAACAACAACCACCATCTACATCTATTGTTGATATGTTAGCATAAATAGATGACATTAATCATCTATTCAAAGTTACTTAAATAATATTCACAAAGAGAAAAGAGAAATAGAAAAATAAATTATTATCAAAATGTACTTAATATATAATCACATCACATCACATTTACTTTTAGGTATATTATTGATAAATGGTCAGAGATGAATCGATCGAAAGTCGAGAGAAGTAGAACTATCAGTAGGTTAACACTCCTATCACAATCATTGAAAATTTTCAATTGTTTTATTTGTTTAAGGATAATTGTCTAGCTATATAACATATTTAATAAATATAAAATGTCGAATGGGAAAGAGATAATAGATCGAGTTTATTCGAGTGTATACATTAACGATGAGAGTTCTTATTTAAAAATTTTTCAATATCGATTATATTTATTGATTCGAATATATTTTCAACGATTTATTAAACATGAATAATCAAATAATATAAATCAATGAAAAATAAATTAAAATTAATTTAATCATTTGACAGAATTAATATTTATCATTGTTAAGAATAGAATTGAATAATTTAAGTGTGTTTATCATTTTTATTTATTTAAATAATATTTATTTTGCTTTTTCTTTTTTTTTTTTTTTTTATCGAAAATAATAAATCAATTATCTGATTAATATTTAAGTTATCTATTTTCTAGTTTGATTATTTATTTTATTTATTAATTAGTTAAGACAATAAACAATAATTTAATTAAATAAAACAATTATAAAAAAGAGTAGAATAATATAGAGATAATCATTATAGAAGAGAAAATTAATATATTTAATTGATGATAAAAAGATTCATAAGTTAATTCGAGTTATTATGATTTATCTTCATGCATGAACATAAACAAATCCTAACATAATTATCCTATCAAAACCATTTATTTATTATTTATATTAATTAAAAAGTGCAGAAAATCACTTTAAAAATGACTTCAATTTCGAAGAAAAACAAAAACGATAATATTTCATATTTAAATATATAATAATGATTGGAATGGAAAAATTGAAGTAATCTCTATCCACGGACAAAAAAATTGCGAAAAAACCGTAATAAATTGCGATTTTCAGCGGTTTTTTTAGGTCGCGAGAGTCAGACCATTTATTCGTCTTTTGAAAACCGGTGCGAATTGCGATTTTCAAAAGATGCGATAAGACGCGCTTTTTCGAGTTGTATTAAAGCGACCAGATCTGTCTGGAAACCAGAAAACTTATCTGAACTTCTACCGAAATTCACCAAGGTTGCCCTTTAAGGGGCTATTTAGTGAACTTTTTCAAGACATCATCTTATGTAGCTTTCAATTTATTTCAAGCAAATAGAGTTTTTCATTTTAACTTTTTTTTGTTGTCTGAAATCATTAAAAAAAGCTAGAAATAAAAAATACTAATTGACAATGAATGATGTATTTTTAAAAAATAGATTTCGTTTAACTAAAATAAAAGCATTGATTATTGAGAAAAAGTGAATTGTTTGATAATGTTTTTGAAAATAAACAAAAAGTAATATAAATAAAATATGAAATAATTTAAGTAAATATTATCCTATGATTTGAATTATATGAAAAAAAATCATTTTTATTTTAAAAAAGTATTTAGTTTTGCTTAAATAAAAAGTCAAAATTGTTTATTTGAATTCTAATCAAAGACATAAATATTTCAATGGAAACTTCGATTTGATCAATATTTGTCTTTATAGAAAATCATATTTGTTTTTCTCAATTCTTAACTTGTCGATATTTTTGTTTAACATTCGATTTTCGACGAAATTGGATTATTTCAACGAAGAAAATCAACACTTTCAAGTTCAAACATTCTCCGACACCTTTCATAATTTATTCTTTTCGAAAAACTTAATAATCATGATCATATAGACTTGTAAAAAAAAGTTGAGAATGAATTGATATATTCAATTAAGAGTCATAATAATTTCAATATTTTTTGTTTATTATATTGATAGAATTTATTTTTCGAAAATAAACATTTTTTATTCATAAAAGTTGACTAAAGACTTTCGATATCGATGTAGAATAGTTTCTAATCGATTTTTCAAAACAGTTGTCAAATAGTTTTTATTGAATAAGTCACACTCGACAACTATTCAGAAAATTCGTTAGAAAATTCTTCTTGAACATTTAAAGTCTTTAGTCAACTTTAATAAAGAAATAATGTTCATTTTTGAAATATTTATTTTATGTAGATTAAAAAAAAATCAATTAAAACTAGTTATTAGTGTGATTATAATGTCACGTCTATCTATTATTTTAATTGTCAACTTATTATCCAAGTCTATCATCGTCATAATTAAGTATCGATGACGAAAATAAAATGATGTGTTCTACAGAAAAATGCACTGAATCTTTTAAATGTGCATTTTCTTCCTCAAACTATCAATTATTAGATTTTGAGCTTTATCTTGAATAAATTTAGTTTTTTCTTATCGAATCTTCATTAAGAATAATCGGGTGTAACTAATTGATTCTATCAAAAGGTACAATTACTCTCGGGTGCGACTGAAGTTGCAGAAGACGAGTTCTTTCTCACATAAAGAGTAAGGTCAATTTTTGTTCCATTAGTAAATAATGCCTGAAAATATTGTTCTTTTCAATAATTAGTCGTTTTAAATCCTTATTTGAAGATAATGAAAAAAATAACAAATATTTATTCACCTTTAATTAATAAGATAATTTATATTTCGTCTGCGTCCAAGGCAATTGATCTTGCTGATAAATATATCAAACTTTTCCTAACTTCTATTGATATTTAGCCATTGCGCAAGACACACAGTCAATTAGATTTATTTAAAGAATTATTTTTTAAGAATTTTTTTCAAAAATTTAATTGTTATATTGAAAAAGAAATTAACTACGTGCAGAATTTAATCAAATTTTTCAAACCTTTGTAAAATTCTTTTCTCATCATAGAGTCCATATTGCCACAACTGATTCTATAAATAAACATATTTTTATCGATGGTTTTTATATAGGATATTTGAAAAAAAAAGGATAAATTCTTATTGATAATATATTGTTTTATTTGATGAAAATAATTAGACCTATATCAATAGATTTATAGTATAAATCGACTTTTCAAGTTTTTATTATCATATTGAGAATAAATAATAAAATAAAATAAAATAAAATATTGTTAAAATGAGTTTCATCTTATTTGTTTTTGCTCTGTTTATATTATAAATTGAATTGGACAGGAAATTGCTTAAAGTGCTGATATAGTTAATAACAAGAATATATAGATATTCAACATCATCAATAATATAATCAATTATATATATTGAATATATTCTATATAAACGGAGTTAATTCACTGTTCAAGGAAGTTCGGAGAAAATCTCCAATTGAAAAGGTTAAGAAAATGTTAATGTCAAATAGACGACATATATTAATTATATATCGTTGAACTTTTTTGACATCTATATTATAAATATTGAGATAGATATGAGTTTCACTCAGATAAAAAAACATTTTCACATTAACTTTGATCAAAATGAAGTTATTATTATATATTATTCTAATGAAATCGATTGAATCAAAAAAAAATAAATTCGTTAATTTCAATTAATACGATATAATGATATGGATATAAATGGTTTAAGCCGTTTTTCAATATTATATTCAAATGAAAAAAAAAATATTTATATCGTTTAAAAAGTTCATATAGAGATAATGATGTTATTTTAATAATTAATTATCCATATAAATATATAATTGGTTGTATTCGAGGTATATGGAGAAATGAAACATTATATATTTAGTTTTATTTATTTAATTCTACAACAAATCAATGGAATAATCGAACAATTAATAAAATATTTATTTTTATCTATTCAAACATATTCTATTCAATGGAATAATCAAACATTTTCTAATGAAAAAAAAAAATTTTTTTCAATCTATCATAAATTTAATGATAAAAATCCATATGTTTTATCTCGATTTCGAATGGATTTTCGTTGGTTTAATTGATTATTGATTAAATATTATTTATAAATATATTCAAATAAATAAGCTGATTCGATTTAGTTTTTCTCAATAGACATTATTGATCACAGATATTTATTCAATCACTTTCACTTTTTTATTGATCAAATTATTAACGACACAACTGGTTTTTTTTGTTTTTGTTTTTACCTTAAATTGATTAAATCTATTGAAAATACATTTTTTATAAAAAAAAAAAAGCAATCAATAATCGTTGATCTATTAAATGAAATATATTTTAGATTTTCAATAAAAGTTATTGTATTTAAAAAAAAACACACCAATAGATTGAAAAACAATTAAACAATATTCAATCAGCATAGTTTAAAACTTTTCATCCTTTCAATTTATCAAAATTTCTACTTGAAATAATAACTAAACTCAATTTAAATATGTTTTTTATTAATATTTTAATAAAATGCAATTCTAGTTAAACACGACGTAGAATTCTCTCTGGTAGCTTTATTTATTTATTTATTCTTTCTTACTTATTGAACTGATTATTAATGTAAACGTTGCAAAACAATAAATAAAATACTGAATAAAAAAAGAATCTTAAAAACATGTGTCTAGTAGTGAACTCGATTAAATATAATATATGATCAAAAACAGAACATTTTTTTTTCCATTACTCTATCTTTGAAAAATATTATTTACTATATCGAGAATCTTTTAATACTGTCATTGGTGGATTTTTTTTTAAATTAAATATTATCCAATGAAGAGAGAAAATCCATTATATAAACCTATTAAATAATA